CACATGTCCCCTTGTGAGCCACCGTAAGTAACACTTCGAAACTCACTTTTTTACCCATTAAACGTTAGTTTGAGAATTATGTTATACATTTGGAWCTATTTGCCTCAATGCTAGTTAGTGTTTTAATGGCACTATTTAAAAAAATCAAGATGGCGKTCCAAGATGTCGGATCCTAAAATGACGGGTATTCTTGTCAAAATCGCTTGTTTTAAACTTTTTAACTTCAAAAACTTCTCAAATTTTAAGGTTAACAAAAAAATACCGATGTAGCCAAAAAAGGTGAGATTTGCATGGAGTCAAATTATTCAACGACGACAAAGACACTATAGGAATTATAACGTCACACTTGCTACCATGGATACAAAACGAACAATAAAATCACAGAAGAGCAGTAACGCCTAAATATGATATTTAACTGGTTATCTAGATATAGATATATAATTTATAAAGATTACCTGATATCTATGACGTCATTGTGACGTCATATAGAACGGGGGTCAATTAAAAAAAGTATTATTTCCAAGCCATTTCAATAATAMACAGATGATATTTCAGCATTCTCTATGACATTGTGGCATTTTATTAAAATGCATAATAAATCGTTRAAATAATGAAAATGGCGWTATTATGACGTCAGATTTAGAGTGCAGTGGTTCGTTGTACGTGGGTGAWCATTGTGTGAAAATTTGAACTGAAWCAGTTTTTTTCTTATTCTTGTTGACATCCGTAAAGTTCCATCCTGAGGGCGTTAAGCTCACCGTAAGTATGAATCACCAACCGAACAAATCTTGTCAGTATCTTTTCCTTGAAAGTATTGGTCACAATAGTACTTCCGTCGGTGTTTCCCAAAAACAACTGAAGATGAAAAATCAGGCAAAATTATGCAAACACACAACTGATCATCATTTTAGCTGAGGTAGCTGTAGCTGAATATATAATTGGAATAATATAAAACAGGCAAAGGTCGGGATGAGGATCAATGACAAGAGTGAAGAAAAGCGAGTCCGTTCAAAAATTCGAGCGCACTTCWCCTATCGAAGCAACGAATTCCTTTACACTACTCCACYAGGGATAATTTTAACTCCACTATGGATAATTTTAACTAATGTGTGGAGTTCTATTTATTCGTAAAAAGGAGTCATCCTGTACCTTTTTCTTAACTYCACTTTTGGAGTTAAATCAAAACTCTCAAAAAATAACAGTGTAACTTTATGCTCTTTGCCTCCCTGAATTTAGGAATGGAACACCAGCTAAACGATCATGCGCACACCTTTTGTTTGCCATTTTCTTTGTAGCTTTCCCAGTTTTCACCGTCCAACGCATGGTGTATGAAATACGTTTTGACATATTTCAGGTTTGACCAGTATGACCCTTGAGTAGCAATTTTCGTCACAAGTACAACCTTACTGAGGTCTACTTGCACCCATTCATTAGGTCGGGCATATGTTGCCCAATTCCTTTGAAGGTTTAGTCTTGCCAAGAAAGCAATGTCACGAGACAGCATATATGAAGAAGATGATTTGAATGACGAGTCTGGAATTGTGCCATCACCCAAACCTAATGGAGTACTACAGCCTAAAACCAAGTCATAAACCGTACACTACTATAAACTATAAACTATAACGGGGATCGATATTTCAGAAAAACTTAGTATTTTGTTAGAGGAGWACTTTTTAAAATTCAGCTAAAAAAAGAGCGATTTAAGAGGACGGACATGTTGCTTCAAAAAAGTGCTAAAATGAGTGTCTAAACGTCAGACGGCATRAACTAAACGTCCCAGTACTAAACGACATTAGCAATCGATCTTTTTTTGAAAAATTGTCGGAACAACTGTAAGTTCAATTAATAGAAMAAGATCTARAAATTGTCGATTTATTTCTCTCGCTATATGCAGTCACCCGTTTGTCGTAAGGCTCCACTCATTTTATCCCCAATAATAATTAACTGTCAATAAAGATCTGTTTAAACAAGGAAGGCTTGTTGACAAGGTGACACTTATACAATAATGGACTAGTTGTGAAACTATACTTACCTATACATTCTTCAGTGATTCCATTCTTGTAGAAACATCTGGTGTTTGGTCCTCCCGAAGTACATGCCGAGTCATTGCAGGGCATTCGACGATACAAGTTCAGCAGATAAGCGCCATTGGCATGGTATTGGAGATCGCCTGGATTAGACGCATTAATGGCTTTGTTCAACTCACAAATTCCCTTGAAATGATAGAAGTTTATGCTGTAGCAGTTCCATGTATTAGAACACATTATWAGGCAATTGGCGATTGTAGTGAAGTTCAACGTCTGGAGTACATGTCCTCGTAAAACCCAGTCATGCAATGTGGATGTGGTGTCAAACTGAGCTCGGATGAGATTGAGGAGGTTGTACAAGGCGAAGAGTAAGACCATGAGAAAGCAATTCATCTTGATTAGGCAAAAATATTATCCTGTGTAATCAATATTGAGACAGTCTCCTTCACGGTTCCCTGCGACATATTGAAAGGTATAGAAATGAAAGAATAAAACTCTTATAGTGCTTAGAAAGAGACAATTCCGGGAGAAAGAGCATTCGGATTTGTACTACCGATGCTCTACCATGCCAGCTGAGCTACAATGCCAGACTGGGAGCAGGTCGGGTTGAAATAGATGTTAATATTTCATACTTGATTCAGTTTTCTTTGTTATTCATAGTGTTGTTATCTCTCTTTACATCGAAGTTTCAGGGCAATATCTATATATTGCCCCCATTTGAGGGCAATATCTATATATTGCCCTTGAATACTATACACTTAATGACTGTTCCATCGGGAAACGGTTAGTTTTGTTTCCCGAGAATCTCAATGTTTCCCGAGGTACGCCGTTGTTGACAACCATTTCGTCTATTTCTTGACTAAGATTTGAAAATCTTTTTGATGCCAGCTCCATTTTGTAAACAGTCRAAAGCAGCAAAAACAATTCCCGCCTTTATTTAAGGAATAAAAGACGAAATTCMGTGTTTGATACTCGGGATGTAGGGAGAGCACGAGAGAAGCGTAGGAAACCACGACGCGTAGCGGAGTGGTTTCCAGCTTTTCGAGTGCTCTCCCTACATCCCAAGTGTTTTGATCAGAGTATCAAACACGAAATTTCGTCTTTTATTTCTTTTCTAAAATTAAAAGAAAAAAAGAAATTTATGACGTGCGCGAGCGTGTTTTGATACTGTAATCAAACATGGTTTTCGACCAATCACAGCGCGCGTAGTATCCTAAATATTTTAGAAAAACTGTTACTCGACACGAGGCGGCCTTTTCCCGCCAAGCGGTCAACAATCGCCAAACTGTTGACCTATCAGTCAAYAGTTGATTTTAGCTCCGGACACGTGACACCGAATCGTCCAATAAGAGAGCGAGAAAACAGTCAAAATAATTTACTAATAATGTATATTGCAMTTGAATACCTAATTAACTACTACGTTCAACTTAGAAATTTTCTGTCTGAAACTTTAAACTTGAAAGAAAGAAAGAAAAATTTAAATGACACCAAGTAGATTCGAACCAACAACCTTAGCTTTGAAAATCCGATACTTAACACGTTATGCTAACTGACTAATCGAGGTCTCATGGGACTAACGAGAAAAATGGTTATGCAAATTATTCCCGTTCGGAATTGTCAATACTGTAAATTTCGTAACCTTTCTAATCGAGGTTTTGGTTTTTAATTCATATGAAAACGGCTCCTTTGCCTATTTAAAAATGAAAATATTAATGCAGTGCTTGGAAAACKTCTTCCAGTATGAAATAAGCCAGTACATACCTCGACCCTCGGCAATCACCCTATACTTCTATAGGCTGATTGCCTCCGTTCTCGGTATGTAACTCTTACATACACAATGGTTGTCTCGCTTAGATGTAAAGGCACTTTGACGCTCCGTCCAAATGCGTCTCTGCAATATTGTCAATGTCTAATAATTTTTCATACCAAACGTAGACAAAGATAAAGTTTATTTTCATAAAACGGGAGTCATATAATTATTTAATCTACAGAAGGTGAGGGTGGATTTGGATAAAAAAAATTGTCGAGAGAATCTTAATTTTTTKGTGTTTTAATTAAAAACACTTGAAATTCTGAACAAAGTTGAAAACTCGCGGCATAACTAACAATACTAAAACTGATCAAATAAATGGTTGYAGGTCGATCTATTCATTACATGATGTAAGCGCTACTTCAACCTAAAAGATATTGCAAAGAAGAAGAACGTTTTGTTTAATAGGGACAAGGGGCGGATGATCCCGCAAAATTATCTCTGTGTAATTAGAAGTTAGTTACCGCGCGCTTATTAGATCTTCTCAGAGCGCGCGCTCATTGTTTTTATGCTGTTTTGTAAAATGTAACCTTTTTCATTCAGTCTTACTAATGGCTCGATGAGCCGAAAGCTCGACGAAAATAAAATGTAACTTTTAGGTTGAAGTAGCACTTACATCGTATAATACTGAAACTCATGTTTCTCAAAATTGAATGGCTTGTTTCCGCTCTAAGGAGTATACTAATACAAAATGATCTCGAAGACAGCTTTGTCTTTGATGCTTGAATAAGGTTTTAACTTTAACCAATTAAATGCTTTAAAAACTAATTCACGCTCGCGTACAATCTCAACAAAACAAGTGATGAATGCAACTTGAAATTCTTACGATCAATCTAATTTGGCTCATAAATTTTTTTTTTGTTTGCCCTAGCGTTTATTACAAATTGTTAAAAAATCCGATCAAGTTGATTTTAATGCGAAAAGAAACTTTCATCTTTACCAATTTTTGGTATCAAAATTCTTGGACATAACATTGGCGAGACRCATTTGTACGGTGCATTAAAAGCCATTACTCATTCGATTCGCCTTAAACTGTTGTTATACAAATAAATATGGTTGAATTGAAGTTCTACAATTTTTTTTTATTAATTTTTTTCAAATACATTCTTACCTCCATAAGTGCGTGTCTAACACTGCTATTATCTCACACACAAATCAACATGTAATTTAAAACGAAAAACAATTTTAAACTGAATTAAGGTTCGTGCTGTGCACTTCCAGTGGTTTTGCATCAAGCAAACTTATTAGTATAAACATATTAATGGTCTATCACTCATGCTGCGCTGTGATTGGCTACTCTACTAATGGTCTAATTTGTGATAGACCACTCGCGGGAAAATCAAAATAAATAAATTATAAATTTAAATTATTTTAAGGATATTTCAATTTGTTTTCATTATTTGACCGATTAGTATGTTTATACTAAAACAAGTAGACCTCTCGGCCTCGTGGACTACGAGCTTATATTAGCTCGTAGTCCACTCGAACCCGAGGTCTAATTGTTAATTAGTGAACCTAGCTTTGCATAGTATAGAATGTAATGACTGCGTAACCTAAGATGTTTTTTTCATGATATGATAATCTATGAATTACCTATTTTTTTTAGTTTCGAAAAAGTTCCATTTCCCATGTTACAGTGAAAACAACACATTCGTGGTATCTCTATGTATTGGAGGTAAATATTATTGCTATTTTACAGCAWAATTTGCTTTCATAGAAAATTATATGATAAAATAGCATTTTTCTGACTTCCACTATGTAGAGATCTAGAAACCTCGATATGTTATTTTCACAAGTGAAAATAATAATTTTACGTAATGGGGAAATATWGGTATTTCATAGATAATTATGATAAATAGAATATTATATGCTCGTTTGGAGATACAGAAAGTTTAAAAAGATCTCTCACGAGTGAGCGTAGCGAAAAACTCCGTATTTCCGCGTCCGCATGCAATATTCCCTATATATCTTTTGTATCGAATAGATACAAAGATTTATTCTGACATTAATTAAATCCTAAATTACTTTAGCTTSAAGTGTCAAGATAGTTGATTATTTTTAAAACTGTATAAGAAATTAATTGATTGTATAATGCTGAGTAAGAGTTAGTGACATTCAGGCACGTTAAAAAAAACATTAGCAGGTGTACAATCAGAGCTTTCTGTTTTACTTTGTTTATATTTTGTTGTTTCGTTGTTTTTGCTTTGTTGTCGGTTGTTTGTATTTTTGTTTGTTTGTTTTTTYC